GTACTAGAAAGTCGCCAGTTCTCAGCTTCCAGCTCTACAGATTGCTCTGCGTACTAAAGTTGTACTACAAAGTCGCCAGTTCTCAGCTTCCAGCTCCCCAGATGCTGTGCCTGCCACGAAATCTGCCCATGGAGGTTCACAAAGTGCTGCGCCTGTCACGAAATCTGCACCTCGAGGCTCACAAAGTGCTGTGCCTGCGACGAAATCTGCACATGGAGGTTCTGGAGGTTCACAAAGTGCTGCACCTGCCACGAAACCTGCACATGGAGGTTCACAAAGTGCTGCACCTGCCACGAAATCTGCACATGGAGGCTCGCAAAGTGCTGCACCTGCAACGACATCTGCGCATGGAGGTTCACAAAGTGCTGTGCCTGTCAGGAAATCTGCACATGGAGGTTCACAAAGTACTGCACCTGCCACGAAATCTGCACATGGAGGTTCACAAAGTGCTGCACCTGCCACGACATCTGCACATGGAGGTTCACAAAGTGCTGCACCTGCCACGAAATCTGCACATGGAGGTTCACAAAGTGCTGCACCTGCCACGACATCTGCACATGGAGGTTCACAAAGTGTTGTGCCTGCCGCGAAATCTGCACATGCAGGTTCACAAAGCGCTGCGCCTGCCACGAAATCTGCACTTCAAGAAACAAGTGAAAACTCTAATCCCAATGGAGGGACGATTCCGAGAATGACCCGAGACCGTCTCGCACCCGTCGTTCCGCAGACCTTGACTTACCAGCTTCGGAGCCACCGGTTCCATTGAAAAATATAGCATTTCGTGCGTTCGCTATCTCTCCACAACGCATTTTGTATTGCGCCTGCCATGAAATCTGCACATGGAGGTGCACAAAGTGCTGTGCCTGCCACGAAATCTGCACATGGAGGTTCACAAAGTGCTGCACCTGCCACGAAATCTGCACATGGAGGTTCACAAAGTGCTGCACCTGCCACGACATCTGCACATGGAGGTTCACAAAGTGTTGTGCCTGCCACGAAATCTGCACATGCAGGTTCACGAAGTGCTGTGCCTGCCACGAAATCTGCACTTCAAGAAACAAGGGAAAACTCTAATCCCAATGGAGGGACGATTCCGAGAATGACCCGAGACCGTCTCGCACCCGTCGTTGCGCAGACCTTGACTTGCCAGCTTCGGAGCCACCGGTTCCATTGAAAAATACAGCATTTCGTGCGTTCGCTATCTCTCCACAACGCATTTTGTATTGCGCCTGCCATGAAATCTGCACATGGAGGTGCACAAAGTGCTGTGCCTGCTACGAAATCTGCACATGGAGGTTCACAAAGCGCTGCACCTGCCACGAAATCTGCACATGGAGGTTCGCAAAGTGCTGTGCCTGCCACGAAATCTACACATGGAGGTTCACAAAGTGCTGCACCTGCCACGAAATCTGCACCTGGAGCTGGAGTTGCCTGGAGCTTGAGCTGTTAAAACCAGAGCTAACTGGAGCTAGAGCTATTGAAACTAAGAGCTTATTGGAGCTAGAGCTATTGACACTAGAGCCAACTGGAGGTAGAGCAAACTGGATGATAAGTAGTGTATGATGAATGGTGTATGATGAGTGGTGTATGCTGAGTGGTGTATGGTGACTGGTGTATGATGAGTGGTGTATGATGACTGGTGTGTGATGAGTCCTGTATGATGAGTGGTGTATGATGAGTAGTGTATGATGAGTGGTGTATGATGAGTGGTGTATGATGAGTGGTGTA